TAAAGGAATTTTCCACTTGTCTGGTAGTAAGTTATCCGGATAATTAATACCACGAGTAGTGATCTAGTACTGGAATTCTGTAAAGTTTTGTTTTGATATTGTGCTATTTTCTTCCAATTCAAATTCTGTAAGGCTTTGTTTTTATACCATGCTATTTTCTTCCAAATCAAAATCTATTTGATGAAGTCTAGATTCTTTTACCAAAAACAAGTTCAAACAATTCTGCTCAAAGAAAAGTTCAAACATTTTAAAAACTTTGGAAATAAGTAAAGGCATGGTAGAGACCTTGATGTTCTTCCTTTCTCTCTTGGATTTTCTGTGTCTACTGTACTGGCTGGTTTTTTTCTCGAATCAGAATCTTTTCCAAGAGAAGTTGGAAACAAGTATTGCTCCATTTAGAAGTGGATAGAAGTTGCATTAGAGTGTAAGATGTGGCCATCAAACTTACCAATTATCCGGAATACAGCCCAAGGTAGATGAATGAGCTTGCAGCCCAAGGTAGTTTTCTGTTAACTTTTGTTGTTATACTGTGCTATTTTCTTCCATTATTCAAAATTTATAAGTATTACTTTTCTCGATGTTCTCTATTTGATGAAGTCTAGATTCTTTAATTTACCAAAACAATTTGAAAACTGCAGGGAGTAACTAAAGGCATGGCAGAGACCTTGACCTTCCATTTTTCCCTCTTCAGGATCTGCTGTGTTTGTTAGAGACCTTGACCTTGACCTTCCATTTTTCCCCTGATCTACCAGACCTGGACCTTTACCTTGACCTTGATCTTGACCTTTTCCAAGAGGAGCTGGAAACAAGTATTTGTCCATTTAGAAGTGGCCAGAAGTCATAGTAGAGTGTGAGATTTGGTTATCAAACCTACCAATTATCCTGAATGCAGTCGAAAGTAGACGAATGAAGTTCACACATGTCTGGTAGTTCTCCGGATAGTGCTCTTCGGTCTCCTTTATGCTTCTCCAGTCTCCTCTTCTGGATTGATGGTTCTTAAGCTCAGGGACATATACACCTTGCAAACAAATACAGTTGCACTTCGGTGAAAGTCAAATTGAGGAGATATTTAGATGAACAAAGGAAAGATGACTGATAAACCATACATTCAACTGTATATGTAAAATATACTTCCTCTAGAAAAGTGGCTTAAAATCACCAACTCTGCGTGAAATTACAAGATAGACTTGATGATATCTCAAAATGACAAATGTTTCGGGAACTTTGAAGATCATATATTGGAGAAACTGGAAAATAATAACCGGAAAATTTTTTAAAATGATAGCTGAAGAAAAGAATAGGAAGGAAAAGATTAAGCTATAGTTAAATTTTGAGATTTTGGCAAAGTCAGATAATGCAATGGTCTAGAGGAAAGATAAAGGCAGCATGTTAGAAGCAACGTACATAGGCCAACAGCCTCCTACCAAAAAAAAAAAAAAGATCATAGATGCTTTAGCTGAAGAGATGCTTAAATTTCTAAAATCTTCCTGATGGACATTCTTACAGTGATAGATCATTCGATCACAGAGTCGGAGATTGCTGCTGCTCTCAAATACATTTGGCTTCCTGGCTAGGATGTGGAGAGGAGAAATGCCTTCCTGATTGACAGAATTGACAAGCCTGTCGTATTTGATAGTTATCAGGTCTGCCAATGCTGTAATGGAGAAAATTGTTGAGATCTCATGTTATTCTTAGATGATATAAATTTTTGCACTTTGAGTGAAAAGAAAGCATGACTTGCATAATTCTTACCAAAGTATTCCCCGGATATGGCAGAGTGCAGAATGGTATCCCCATCATTCCTTCTACAGAGTGAATAATCTGGTTCGCTTGCATTTCCATTGTAGAGCTCATGAAACAGTTGAAACGCTTCCATATGGCCGTGATGAGCTGCCAAGAACATTGGTGTTTCATCCTTCTGATTGCGCATCCTGATGAGCTCGCGATGCTTCCTGGCTATACACTCACAGATTGTGACACTGCCAAGTGCTGCAGCTAGATGGAGAGCTGTGTCTCCTTTGTCGTTTTCCGCTTTAAGGATCTCGACTGCCTGGCCCACTGGTAGTAATTCTACCAGTTGCCTTATGATTGCTGCAAGTGCATTAGCTTCCTTTTCACCTACATGGTAACTTGAGACAGCAATGTGCAGAGCTGTCTCTTCTGATTTAGTTAGCTTAGCCTTACAAGCATCCGAAGGGTGGCTCTTGCAGATTCTCAGCACTTCCCTCCACTTTTTCTTCATGGCAAATTGAAATAACTCATCTACATCAAATTTTTGAGGCTCTATTTGTTTGTTGTTCCACATTTTTCTTCGAGGTGTGCTCTTTCTTGTCACTTGTGATTCCTCATATCATCTATATAATGTCTTAGAGCTCTAGCATTGTAACGTATGCAAGAAAAAGAAAAAGGCCCACCAAAACCCTTTTTTTGATTTCTGAGAACCTTCTTTTCTTTTGTCGTTTCTAAGGTTGTGTTTGGATTGCATTTTCCGTCATTTTTCATGGAAAAATTACTGTAGCGATTTGATATATGTGAGGAAAAAATGTGATAGGGAAATGTGATCACGGAAAACGATAATATTTTCCGACGAAAACCTTCAATCCAAGCAAGGCCTAAGTTTCTGAGGATCAGTTTGCAACTATCTTCTCTTTTGTCTTTTCCAAGTTTCCGAGGATCAATTTGAAACTAGTTCCTCCGGAACTCTCTCTAGTTTTGAATGGCTTCCACATCATTATTCCTTTTTTCTTTGGCTTATTCTTCGGATAAATAAATAAATAAATAAACAAAACACACAGTTCTGTTGCAGTTAATATAGATTGGTACAAGAAGGAAGATAGGAAGGCCATAGTCAATTAGTCCCTACTAATGCATTGCATAAGAATAAGCAAACAAATGTACATTTTAGGTTGTAAACCAACGCTTGACTTACAATCAGATCATACCAAAGTTTAATCACATCTATATCTTCATTTGATTCGTAGGTATCTGCATTTGATCCGATCATAAAATTTCAATTCAACTACAATACTTTGTGTATAATCTGGATGGATTCTTTTCTTGTTTGCGTAATGTAGCTTTTTACCACTTGATTTATCTGACCCTTTTCTCCCCATTTCACTGTGTATAAAGAAGATCCATCATCCATGACTTGACGCTGAATGAAGGCAAACTCAACTAGAATCTTAAAAAGAAAAAGGATGAAGACCAATTAGTATTCCAATCGCAAAATTGATTGGTCTTTTTCAAGTGTCCCTAGCACTCATCTAAAGAAACTTTCAAAATTTCTGAAACTTTTTTAGCACTCAATCAGGAAGTAGAGGATTATTTATGCAGAGGGCAAAAATATTGTCCATGAAGCATGTTATTTACTAGTAACTAACTCTTACAAGAGAACCAAATATCCTCTCAACTTTTTTAATACAGAAGCAAAGCCCTGCAGGAAAGTTGATAACTTGATACTAACTCATATTGTACTTCAGATGATTCTTTGGAGCTCACTAGAGCAAGTCATTTGTTCCCCTTGTCTCTCCTACTAGCTTCGCTTCATTTCTTCTGCCTTCCCCACGTCAAAAATTTTTGTTTTATTTTGGCTTTTGTAACAAAAAATGATATGTGTCCTAACACTGGTGGAGCAATCAATTTTCTTACGGGGAAATTATCTAATCCACTTTCTTCCTAGCAGTAAATGAAACGCATCGAAACATCTAGTTATTTTTTGGCAACTCATTCATCAATTCAAGTAATTTGCCGGCTAAAAGAGTGATGGAGGTGTGTTTTGGAATCAGTGGTATGTAGACAGGCTTGTATGGTCCTGGAATGTGAATGTATCATCCTTATGGACTAATGAAAAATGTACAACCTATAAATCTAGTGTTGGGTGTGGAAGATGATCTTCATCCTTCTGTTCTGCAAGGAATATTCACTCATTGCATTGTAGCAGTGACATTGGCCATATTAGCGGGGTGATTCCATCTTGGTGTCCACCAGCCACAACCTTCTAATCGTTCTTTGAGGTTACTTGTCCACAACAAAACAGCTGCTAGGAGAATGCAAAGTAATGTTAAGCAGTCAGTTGTTTATAGGTTAGCTAGAAGTTTCACCATCCTGCATATGTGACTTTCAGACTTGTATACAGCTGACAAACATATGCCCTTTGCTATTTTGAGTATTCTATTTTGAGTCATGGTTCAAAGGCGCGGTCGCAGTCGCGGCCTCGAGTCTTTGAACCATGCTTTTGACCCTTGTCCTTAGGCTCTTCTATGTTCGTTGGATAATTTAGGCTCTTCTATGTTCATTGGATAATTCATATAATAACGTATTAGTTCCAAGGACAAGCATGGTCTCCATCAATAAGTTTGTTTAGATCAGGGAAATTGAAAATTTGACAATAACAAGTAAAAATGGAAAACCTGGTTGATCATTCTGTTAGTGTTCTTTTGTGGGGTATGAATGATGAATTTAAGATTTCAGAAGTTCAATTTCACAGCTTCTCTTCAACACTGCTGCACACCATGATTGTCCAGCTGTGCTGCTCTGCAAGAGCAGGTTAGATATTCTTTTCAGCCTGGTTCATCTGTAAGCCAAGTTCGTTCTTGCTCATATTTGCTCTTTTTCCCTTTCTTGGTCTAGAAAAAGGAAACTTCACTACCCTAGGCGTAGACACAGTCCATTCTGGTCTATTTCTTTCGACGCCACATTATGAATTTTGGAGAAATTCCAATGTTTTTTATTACATCAAGCATATGAGTCATCTCGAATTAATTTGAATTTTTATTATTTTTGCTAATTTATTATTATTTTTTTTATCATTTTTTTTTACAATTTTTAGAATATTAAATGTTTCAAAAATTTGCCTTTCATCGAGATCACGATCGATATGTCGAGATTGATGTTGAACGATCCAGGCCACGACTACGACCGTGACCACGGCTTTGAACCATGGTCACAGTACCATGAACACTCAACAGACTGTCTTATCCAAGGACATCAAACACATCAAATACTGAAAAACAAAATGTACACAAAACTATTGTTCAAAAATAATCAGAGCAAAAACCGAACCCAAGCTCCAAAAGTAACAGATATGTCCTTAAAACTGAAAAAAAACTTCAAGGGGATTAGCCAGGAAAACACTAATGGTAGTATACCTTGTAGCTACGAACAGGAACCTTTCGGATGATTGACCATAAGAGATCAAAGTATAATGGTAGCTGTGCAAAAGCAAAAAAGGTTATTGGTAGACATGCTACAGCATAGAGGGGAAGTGCTGCACTATGGATTTGATCGCTGAGCATGAAGAAATGTCCTGCACAGAACGAGACCAGTACTGCAGATATGGAGGTGAATAGTGAGCTTAATCCAAATAAAAGCTTCCATGGCAAACTCGTTTTGAAGTCCTTTTGCTGGCATCTTGAGGTAAGGATAGCTAGAAAAAACACCAGGGCAGTCACAGAGAAGCAGAGAGCAACAAGTGAAGCAACAGAAAAAACATTGAATGCAGGTTGTTTTTCGAGAACTGGATGACCAGACTTTTGATCAGGGCCACCTGGAATTGTTGATGAGGTAGCAAATGCCACTGTTGCAATGAGTGCTGCCACCAGAGAGCATGATTCGGAGGTTTTGATCATCCACTTACTTCCATCTTTAACTAGTTTTTCATGTGTCTTCATGAAAATTTTTCCTGCAGTCTCACCTTTCTTGTTGTACTGGATGAAACATTGTGGCGGCATGGAGTGCTTGACATGCTGCATTAGCAAACCACCTCTGTTAATCTCTGGATGTTAGATGTTTAAGCCACACATGTATGTTTTGAAGAAAGGTCTGAATAGGAGAAAACATATCACGCCAAAAACAATAGACTAAAAAATGTACTAGCACAATGCTTAAAAAAAAAACTACATTCTGAAGTTCTTTTATCTATGGCAGTAAAGAGGGGAAATCATTGGAAACTAACTTCCTCTCGGATGCACTTATGAAAAAAAAAATTAAAACAGCGGCCAGATGTTTTTATGCCTAATTGAGAAATATTTACGTAACAAGTATTATGTACCCAGAGATTAACAGAATACACAACAATATACTCTGAGTTAATGTAAGATGGTAACCACATTCTACAAAGGAAGATCTTATAATATTATATGAACAAAACACTAACATAAAGCCAATGATGAAGTTATCACATTATGATTTTAGCTAGGGATTATCAGGGCATATTCTCGGCTTGGAAAAATTAGCTAATATACATGTACCTTAAGCCACTTGATTTCCCACTGCATCTGCAATGCAGCACCTGGAATTCGCCAAGGTTGGTGTTCATGAAACTTGGCAGCGAGATGCATTGCACTGTTTCCTTCTTTGTCAACTTGATAAAGGACAAATTCCGGGAGTTTCATTGTCATTAATAAATCAAACACCTTGATTTGCCTGTTCTCAACGGCCAAGAGCAGGGCATTCTTCCCATTTGCATCCAAGTCTTGAATGGCCACTGGAAAGGTTTTCAGGATTTTTTCCACCATTTCTGATATACCCATCTTTGCTGCAAGTAATATTGATGTCTCTGTAGCACATGGTGAAGGCTGGTCTAATTCTAATTCTGTGTATAGATTATTGATTATTAATACTTAAGCAGACATGAGCCCATGTTTTCAAAAAGTTGCTCTTACCTTTATTTTGCAATTCTCTTTCCTAATCAAAACACACTTCTTTATTCCTTTTCAAGTCTTGGACCTCAAATTGAAGAAGACAGCTAGGAGGAATTTAACCAGAATTGGCTACAAATACATTGCTTTTAGCTTCAAAAGAAAAAAAAAAAAAAAAAAAGCACTTAGGCATGTGATTAGTAGAACTAGCTTGACCAAGCAGACAAAATGAGAGATCATGTGCCCATCAAAGAATTTAGCTAAATAAAGAAAACTAATCATTTAAAAAGCCTGACTATACCAACTGTATGAGCAATGAATATATGCTTTGCTCATCTTTTCCCATTATCATTCAGTTTCTCCACTCAGAAGAAAAGCATTTTGTCTGGTTTTTTTAAGCTATTTCATCAATTTCAGCAGTTATCTTTTTTTTTTTTTTTGCCAACAACGATACATTGTATAACCTCCTCTATTCTAATTTAAGGAGAGGGGGAGGCTAAGGGACTTGTGTTAGGGTTAATGGGTATACGGACCCAACTAGACCAAAAGAGTGCTATAGTACTGCCCTTAGATTTTTTTTTGGTTCTGTAACTCTCATCAATTTCAGCAGTTATCTTTGCCTAATATTTGGACATTCTTCCGTGTTTCCGTGTGTGTGCCACCTCCCTTTGGACATATGTTTCAAGACATTCACGCACTTGAACACTAATTTTGCCATTACCAATTCCCAAGAATTCATCAAAGCTACTATTTGGATTCCCAAAAATTTATCGTAGTTTGTTTGAAAATTCCAAGAATTCATCAATGGGTTCCTTCAAATTCCTTGAAATGCTCCTAAAAAATACACTTGTTTCATTGTGACAAAAGCTTTTCTTAAACCAAAAAAAAAAAAAAAACAGTCGAATTTAATTAGAGTCATCATATTTTGAGAGCAAGTCAAGAATAGTAAAAAGATGTTAATTCGAAAATTAAAGAGTACAACTATATGAAGTCAAGTATAGTAAAAAGATGTTAATTCGAAAATTAAAGAGTACAACTACATGCCCTTTTGAGTTCTCAATTTTTTCAATTGAAGACCTAATTCTATAAGAGTAAAAGTGAGGAAAAACACCATATCTATGCCTTGTTAGAAAGATGTAAGTCATGTGAACTTGTACCATAACAATTGAAATAATTGAGAGAGTCAGAATTCTGACAAACGAATGCCCTTACCAGTGATATGTTTAGTGCCGCAGGGAATGAAGGGTCTCTAAAAATTTCATAGAAAATTGTACACAACAATAGAGATACCCTAAACAAATGTACACACTAAAATAGTCGATGTAAAATAACTACTATAACTTTTGGTACGAAACTTCCCAAAATGGTAGTATAATGCTGATGTTTCATGCTAGTAATTTAAATTTTTACATTTGCTGTGTTGGCGTATAATTTATTGTACTTGTATACACATTGTAAATTACCATTAGGATGAAGCATCTCTACAAATGTCATAGTGAATTGTACACAATAATGTATACCCTAGACAAATGTACACTTTGATATAATCAATGTAAAACAGCTACAACTTTTGGTATAATAACTCCTTTTTTGTTGATGTATAAATTTGTTGCACTAGTGTAAACCTTCTGTTGTAAAGTATGTGGTAGCTGAAAATTGTATGCAGAAGGATCTCACCCTACCTTTGGCAACTTGAAAGATGTTGGCTTCTCAAAGTTGCCTACAAAAGCCTTGACTTTAAAGAAAATTGTGATCAGAATAAACATATTATTGTTTCTTTTGGCAGCTTAAGCTGACTATGAAATGAAACTACAAAACAACAGGTGCATGTCTGGTGCAACCTGCCAACCACTTTAGCTTTTGACTAGATAACTTCACCTTTCATTTTCCCCTCTAATTCTTTTAAAGGATTGAACTTTTATTCCTGGAAGATTGTCCTTCCATGGACAAACTGAGTTCAGTTGTCTATCAATGGAACCAGTTACAAAGTCCTAGTCAACACAGATCAATGCATAATATTCTGCCATGACCCACATAAAGTTAAAGATAAGAAAACCACTCAAAGAAGAAAAATGGTGCAAAGGTGAAATAATGTATCCGTATGGAATCCTTCTCCTTCAATTGATTCTTACTTTAGTTCTACACACTTCTCCAATCTCCATCTTTTCGACACATATGAGCTTGAGTAGGACGAGAATCTGTGTCTAAGTTTGTTGATTGTTGTATCCATTTTCTTTACGAAAATGTTTTGACTTGCCAACTAACTTGTTCAGTATGTATGATGGTTTAATTGACTATGTTTTCTTGGCATTTGTAATTATTGCTCTCAAGACATTTTGCATTATAAATTCATGTCAGCCTCTTTTTTTTTTTTTTGAAAAACATTCTTATCAGCCTCTTTAATTCTACAGAAAGATTTCCATATCTTCACCTCTATGTAGAAAGTAGTCTTTATTTTTGGATGAGTTTCTTTTCTTTTTTTTCTCGTGGGGACGAAATTTTATAATCCTTAGCTGAATTTGAGTTCCTACAGTTTCCTACATAAATTTTTTAAACTTGGATATTATTGAATGTTTCCGGATAGAAGATTATTTTACTAACTTTTGCAATGTAATATATGTGACATAAGAAGATGATCGGAAAAATAAAAAATATATTTAAAAAATGTATATATGATGCAGACAAAAACATTTTCCAAAAAATGCAGAATGGTGTTTTTCCATCACAATGAGGATATGATCATTATCTCCATTACAATGAGGATGAATAATCTCATGAAATCTAAAACGACAAAGAAATTACTAGTCAATTATTGGCAAGAAACATAATGCTGTCCTAAAAATGACATGATATGGCAAAACTTCTCTATAGAGACTCTATGAATATATACAAATCATGATCAAGTGCGCCCTTGGGTAACTAGGGTAAATCCCTATAAACTTGTATAGTTAAACTGGGAATACGTAGACATCCAGCAAACTTTTTGGAAGGATTGATTAAAAAAACTTATCCCTTTGTGTGAAAACTTATGTTGTACTTACTCATCTCCTCATCAGCATATCATGACTTCCACCACTGTTGGCATAATTATGATTATGACCTCGTTCACTTTATACTTGTTTACAACTAATTAATTAAGATTATCAACACCACTGCCGTTAACACCATCATCTACCTAGTATTAGTATAAGCAAATAAATTGGAGGACCAATCATTTTTGTGTAAATTGTGGGGACTGATGAGGAAGAAAACGGTTAGTTGAAGGAAGCAAGAGTCCGAGAAATTAAAGAATAGTCGGCTGACGAATCGTGCAAGTCCAAGTGTCAAAAATTCATGGTTCATTCTTTCATGACAACTAATCTTTTTCAATTATATTATAAGGATGATTTGAGCTTTTACTCTAATATGTATACAATTATTGAATACATAAATATAATAGATTAAGACAATAACAAAGTTTCTTTGTCCTAATTCATTCAGCTGACATGTGAATCCTAGGATAATTTTGTTTAATACAACCATGTCTCCCTAGATTAATGACTGCAGCTCTTGTTTAGTTATAAACTAAACTGTAACCATCCACAACAACTCCATTACAAGAAGTAATTGCTTATATATTTATTCATTTGACTTTGTTTAATTTTCCTTGTTTTTTGTTCTTTCTCTTCAGATTTAGTAGTTATCTCGCGTGCTAATGGCCACATTAACCACACAAATTTAAAAGGCGGCTATGAGAAAGGAAAAACAAAAGAAAAGGGACTCAAACAAACACTTAAGTAAGGGATAGCTCACGTAATAGAAAGTTTAGTTAGTTGATAAGCTCTTAATGCATAATGTCGTGTACTTTCTTGTTTTTAAAGAATGCTTATAAGAGGGTTGGCCTCACCTTGTCCATGTTACTTGCAAAGAGAGTTGTATGCTCAAAAGGTAGCCAATAAGTAAGTTACCATCACTCCAATTGATTACCAAATTACAAAAATAAATTATATACACACTGACCGTATATACACTATCAGGGTTGGATGCAGGGCACATATGCAAAATTTAGATTTCAAATTCAAATTTGAATTATGTGTCATACATCTAATTATGAAAATGTATACACTGTAATGTATAAAAAATTAATTTTATATATATATATATATATATATATATATATATATATATAGACACATACATACATGTAAACGGTTTTCTTTCAAGAAAAAAGAGCCCACTGCTGTTTTAGATAATCAAGCTCTTATATAAGTACCTGTAGATGTAAGCCTATATAGCTATAGGGTTGGTAGAATTATGTATTAGTAGTAGTACAATAGTACATAAAGTACTATGCAAAAAGTTTTATTGCAAGGAACATTTCTATTTCAGATATTGAAGTTGTTATTTATTGTAAGTGGCCCTTGGTGTAAGCCTAGTTACAGAGTTGGTAGACTTATAATAGTTGTATACTAACTAGGACTTGGTAGAAAAGAAATTAAATTAAGGAGGAAAATTGGAATGGTTATTTTAGTTGGTTAAAGGAATTGTTTTGTAAGTGGCGTGGATGGCACGTCATGAATTGAGCTAACATGTAGGTATATTGGTGGATGCTTTGTCCTTCACTATTGGAGATTTTTTTTTTTTTTTTTTTTTTTTTTGCTTATTTTTTGATCTTCTCCAGAGAATATAGAGATGAATTGCATGTCTAAAATTCCACATTCATGAATAAAGTTGACAAAGAGGCCTGTGTACTATATACATTGAAAGTATGTATATATTTGAAAGTAAAATAATGAATCTTGGTCCAAGAATTCAAATAAAAAAGTTTGGAAAATGACAAGAATTGAATTTTAAGAAAATATAATTCCAAAAAATTCATGTGGGGATTTTTCTCAGGAATTCGAAAATACTGTCCTAAAGAGAAAAGGGGATTGGGATAATAGTGGGATCTATATATCTTAATAGAAATTAGAGTCAACCAAGAGAAAAAGGACTGAGAAATGTGGCATTAGCACCACCAGGCTTTATTAGCTCCTCCAAAAAGTACCAAAAAAAATTTTTTTTTTTTCAGCTTCTCCAAATTGGTGTTTTTCTTTTTGCAACAAAATTTTTGACAACGCCAAATAATGGAAAAAGCTTGCATGGAAATGAACAACGAGAGAAATTCATTCTACCAGATCCCCATAAACGAAGGAAGTTAAAAAAAAAAATAAAAACAAAGACTCAAGAAATAAACAAGACAGAACTTGAAAGCTACTGCATTTGATTTTTTTTTTTTTCAAAAAAAGATTTGATTGAAAAAAAAAACTGAGAAATAGTAGTATAACAATTCTTAGAACATAGTGGAGAATCAAGCTCAGTTATATTCTGAACAACTTCAAAAAATGGGGATAAAAAAAACAACAAGACCAAGAATCTATAATACCCATACGTAAAATATTGTATGAAAAAGACACATTCATTGAATATAATCGCCTGACCTGAGGAGTCTCCAAGCATAAGGTTGTTTAGTCGCTATAAATAAATTGAAGCAGTATGTAACAAGTATTGCTATTCCATCTACCCAAAATCACAATAATAGTTTGACTGAATCATGTAGCAAGTAATGGAAATATGAAAAACAAATCAGTTTTAAAGACTTCCACATTGTCAAATGATAGATTAATTAAGTTATTCTAGTCAAAATCTTCAAGTTTTGTACCTTGACAGAGTGGACTAAAACCCTGTTCTCGATTGATTATTTTAACTAATTATAGATTTTGATTTTGGATAATCAATTTTTGTAATGTTCTCGGTTACTTTTATAAATTTTTTAATGACCAAAAAAGTTAAAATTTATAATCACCCAAAGAGTAGTTTTTACTGATTCTGATTATTCTCTATGATCAATTTCTATAATTAGATTTTGTAAAATTTAAAACAACGAGAACAAGGTGAGTTTTGGCTTTAAACGCATATGACGACATGTTCCTCTTTTTTTCTTTTCTTTTTTGGTTTGCAAGACAATTTTTTTCTTTTTTTTTTTGCCCTTTATAGCTTCTGATCTAAGATCTTTTACCCATTTCCAAATTGTCTCTAATAATTAAGCAAAAAAAAAAATTTTTGGCGAAATTTACGCGGTTGATGCACCAACTGCTTGAAATAAGTACTTGAATTTGACTTGGTATGATTCTTGAGCTTTAGCTATGGATTGCCATTCTTTTGATATTCTCCACCCGCATTTTAGGAGAAACTTTTTGGATAAGGATAGAATATACGTTTAAGACCATATCATTAGATTATACCCATTGCTGCTTAAAAGTTTCAAATCAAAAAGAGAAAACTAGGGATGATTCGAGCAGTGTCAGAATATACTTCCAACTTTATCATGAATTTAAGTCGATTTATGCAAATAAGAACTTAAATTAACAAAAGAAATTAAGCTGAAAGAATAAGAAGAAGTTCAAATTATCACCCATAAAACAAAGTCCACGGTGAACATGCCACTGATGGCCAATTTTTGTCAAACAGGCTTTAAGATCACCACGTCCCCGATTGGCAAGTTAAACTGGCTAGACTGGCTATTGAGTAGGTATGTAATCGAGCCGAGTCGAGCTCGAGTATTGCTATATTTGAGCTCGACTCGACCTATAAATAACTTGACTCGAGCTCGATTGAGTCGAAAAATCTCAAACTCGAGCTTGACTCGAGGAAATCTTTAAAAGTTCAAGACTCGATTCGATAAGACTCGACTCAAGCTTTTTGACTCGACACATTACTTGTAAATTCAGTATAAATTATACCCATAACGGTCATTTTATAATTATAATACATATATATTATTTAAATTATACGGCTCAAAGAGCTACTCGCCGAGCCACGAGCTGCAAAATTCTGACTCGAACTCGACTCGAATGTGTATTCGAGTAGCTCGAGACTCGGCTCGAACTCAGTTTGACCGAGTTCAAACCAAGCCATTGACCAAGATACTCGCGAGTAGCTCGGCTCGCGTACATCCCTACTATTGAGTGATTTATGGGACAACCCACAAGCGGCTCAATGACCGTAGTAAAGTTTGTCCTCCCCCTAAAGTGGTTCTTAAATGCTGGGTTCAACCTTATTTATGTTGGTTTTGTTTGAATTGCATTTTTCTAAATTTTTTGTAGAAAAATTACTGTAACGATTTGATATATGTGAGGTAAAAAAATAATTGAAAAATATACCACGAAAAACGTAGTAATTTTTCAAAGAAAAATTGCAATCCATTCTTAAACTTTAATTTTCATTAAGAAAAAGTATTCAACATATTTTAGTTGAGAAACCTTATCGTAAGTCTCTTCTTTCTTCTGATAATTTTCGTAACTCTCTTGATCATGCACATCACAAGCGTTTTCTTTTGGGGAAACTGGACAATTTGATACTTAAAATTTTACATTCAGACTTTGATGTAAACCAGAAAGGGCCTTTACTAATTTAACTTGATGCTTTCTCTCAACCAAAAATTAATGCTCGAGCCATTTTGCAAAGCGTGGAGAAAAGAAACCAATTAGTTTGAGTTGCCATAAAGACGTCCACCAATTGAGAATTAACTTTTACCACTTCGGAGAAATTTTGCATTTGAGAAGTGCATTAAGTTAGGATCTCATCTTACATTGGCTAATGGCTACTCCAAAAGGATTTAAGACATTAACTTTTGAGACCTTAATTGTCGAATTATTTGTAATTTTTATTTGAGAAACTGTAGATTATACAAAATTAGATAGTAGAAATCGAAGACATGAAGATGTCTTCAATAGAGTCCAAAGCCATTCATTCTTGCACAAGACTCGATTTCCCTCAACTCAACAAGAACAATTCATCAGTTCTTGACCCCCGATCATACAACCTCCTTGGACTATTCTCTTCACAGATCAATTGAAACCCTCCAAAGCTTGGTGTGTAACCTAACTAGGTAAAGTATATACAACTAAACAATCCATATTCTTAGCCTACAACCTTACACTTGCCAAATGGTATCTTTATGTGCAACTTGAGGTCCCTGAACCAGCACTAAGCAAGCCTTTACAAGAAAGCATCAGCGAAATATTCAGCAAAAACCACGAGTAACCTAATCAACTTTCCTCATGTCTGAAATAACACTTTTCCTCGCATCGATCAACCTCAAATAGGTTGCAATGCATCCACATTTTCAAGCAATTACTGCTCCTAGGTGACAAAATCCTTTAAAGCCCTACTCAGCTGTCAGTATGTGGCCATCCATACGGTTAAGCAAAACCAAGTACCAATGGCATCAACAGAACCTGCTATTCTAATACGACATTAAATGGCCAAAACTTTCATGATTCTGGAATTTAAATGATTAGACGACAAAGAAAAGCAGAAACCTAATGTAAAATCATCAGTTTGTTATCATGTCACTTGATGGAACGGACATGCGGTAAGCTACTTATTTGAACGCAACACAAGCTAATTATATCCCTCAGAACACCTCTAATCTTCTGCTAAAGCATTTCAAAAAGCTCGTATCACTCACCCACTTTTTGCATGTTCCTAAGCCTATGACTGAGAATATACAGAATTTTTAAGCTCTTAACTCGTACAACAAAAAAATATTCTAATAGCTGTGAAATAGTGTTGAGTCCCAAAACGAGCCACGGAAATAGGGCAGGTAGCTGATGAGGACAAAGAAATGCATTTCCCAAAAAGTTATTTCCAAATGGCAAAAGTTGAACCCTGAATGTCAAGATTAATTGTAAGCTTAACCTTTGAGCACTGCAATACACGTATCTCAATTTTAGTTATGTCAAACAAATTTCAGGCACTTCACTGTTTATGAAAAGTAACTGAAATTTCGGTTATCATTTTGACACTTCATGGTAAATAGAAGTCTGGCTGGGCTCATCATAGGCCTCATTTCAACATCCAACTGTAGAAAAAAAGATCCAAGTTATGCAGCACATCTTTGAGACACCCCAAATAACATATGAAATGAGTGCCAAACCGTACACCAATCCTTTGTCATGCCCACAATTTTGCAAACTCGACAAGGTCTCCAAAAATGCTATACCATCCTCCACTAGTAGAAGACATTCAGATTAAAAAATAAATAAAGAAAAGTACAATAGTTCCCTTCAAAAACAAGTATAATGTGGATGAAGGTTGACTTGGGACCACTCAACTGACAAATGAGTCCATAAGTTTTTAACAAATGGAATGTTTGACTTCCAGCAAGTTGGAATTAACAGTTTCACAAGATTACATGAACATGGTTAAAAGAGGATCATCAGAGAAAATTCAGGTGCATCAAACAGGAACACAAAGATCGACCAACAAGCACCAAAATCAACATTACAGTATCAATTAAGATTACATTGCACATTAAGTGTATATGAAAATCATACAGAACAGAACAGAGACCTTGTAGCAGAAGAAAATACACAAATACGTAAAGCGAGAAAAAGGGGAAACGAGGGTCTCTTTAAAGTAAGAGACAATCAGGAAACATAATAACAAGAGAGTTCATTATTTCTTGTTGCTTTTACCTCCAGCATCATTGCCCCTGCTGCCTGCGCTGCCTTCTTTGCAGCCTTCTCTTGAAGTGCTTTTGCATCTCTACAAGATCATCAATTAAAGGGTTACGAGAAAGCAAATCAAATTACCCAGGTCAAGTGTCGGACACAATAGTCACGAATAACATACAGCATGTGGAAATTCAAACAATTAATAGAACCACTCCATAAACAAACAAAAATCACATACTAGTACTTACACCGACATGGTTATGAAAATTATCACGTTCATTCACATCAAACCGACACAAAAGCATCTAACTTTACCTTATTTTGAAGTGCAGATGGACCTAGAGGGGTGTTACGAGGATGCCTCCCCCCAACCCACCCCAAAAAGTCCAGAAAATTTAAATTTTTCCCTCAAAAGCTTAACACTACTAAGATGACAACTACCAAAAAAAATTTAAGAATTCCTTCTTTCGCCCTGTTTTCATGGTTACTCCAACTAATGAAATACATAAAGGTAGCGCTATTGGCACTCCATTAGCTGCATATTTATATTATCCGAATTACAAAGGCAATGGAGTCCCAGTAACCAAAAAGAAAATAAAAAGGTTCCAATATCCTAGTGACAGTACATAAACCTAACTTAAATCAAACTAACATCTATCCATGTAAAGGCGTGAAAACAAAAAAGAGGAAAATTATACACACACCAATTCATAACACACATAATTCATCCAACAGAGTACCAATCTTTCGAAATCTCAACATAAGCAAACACGGTTAAACCACTATAATTATAAAGACAGGAACTTAATAATTACAGATAAACAAAACTCCGAATCCAGAAATTGGAAAATATAGGAAGCAAATTGGACATAAAGAAAAAACGCGGCAAACAGAGAGAGAGAGAGAGAGAGAGAGAGAGGATTAGTACCTTTCACGGCGTTGCTCAGGAGTCAAACCATCATCTTTGTTCTTGCCTTTGCCACCAGTCCTTGCCTGAGCTCTTTCTCTATCTTTCTCCCTCTGGTTTCCGCGTGAGATCCCAATCCAGTCAAAGAAATTTCCCAAAATTCACATATACTCATGAATAAATGCAGCATAAAATTGAAATTAATCAAAAAAAGAAGCGTAATTAAAGGATATGAGTCATGGTGAGGACGCCGGAGAAGTCGCCGGAGAAGAAAGTCTACGCCGAGGAAGAAAAATAAATCAGAGAGCTGTCAACTATGTGGTTCAGTGCGTGTTTTTTGGGGTTGAAATAATAGTTAAAAGTAGTTTGGATTGGACCGTACTTGGGCATAGTTTTGGAACTAGGAATTGGGCGAGCCTTTCGACTCCAAACCTGACCCGTCCATGGCCACATGGGCCTGGTTTGAATATTTTAAGGATTCAGCTCCTCTGCGATAATTGTAAAAATATCGTTGAACCCACACGGGCCACATGGACTAGTTTTGTACCCATTCGTTGAACGGAATCGTAAAAAAAAAAAATAAACTATTTAGTCAATTTTATAAAAATATCGATATAAAATACAAATTTAATGTATAATCTATTATAACTTATTTTAAGTATATTACTATGTGCGCATTGTAATAAAAGTATTCTTATAATATAAATTTGAACATCTAATTCAATGATTAATAATTCAAAAATGGAAAAAATAACATTCAACAATACCATAACATTCAAAAATTTGACAATAAATAAAAAGTGCAGTAAATAGTATCAAATAATATTCTACTCTTCATAAACTTGTTTTTGTTTTTCTTCTGTTTAAACATTCTTCTTGATTTGTCCGTGCAACTTAGCATTCATTGATTTTTCATTATCACTGCATGATAGCAAAGCAGGATAACTAAGTATTAAAAAATAAATGATTTATTGCATTCAAGATTATGTATAACAATATGTAAAGATTATAATTTAAGAAAATAATATAGTATATTAAATCTACCTTCTCATGCAAATCTTTTTATGAGGATTCCCTTTCTCTGTGGTTTTTGTTGAACCCTCTGATAAATGATTCATATGAAGTGTATTGAAATACTGTTGATTAGAATCATCTGTTGTACTAATTGGGATATGAGAAAAAGATACTTTAGGTTGGTATTGGTTGTCGGTTCTGCCAATATGATAATGATTTATCAAAATTAAAGGTAAAAATATTATGTGAGATATAGTATGTGAAATACAAGAGAAATTTATTGTACATTACCTGTGAATGCATGAAATGTGTTTCCCTCTTGAAATCATAGTGGAACTATCTAGTCACTATAAATCATTAAATCTATTAATACCTTGTTTCAAATTGTAATTGTTCAACTTGATTTGGAATATAAAAGGTTTTCACGTGATTTTATTTATAATTGATGATACGATTTCATTGTTAAATCCATCCTGAAAATGAAATGCGTAATAGATTTTTTTTTGTTAGAATATTCAACAGTTGAGATAAGTGTCGGATTGTCTACTATTATTAAAAATATTTTAAAAAATTAGATATAAGTTTACCTTGTTAAATTCTTCAAGAAGAAAAGAAAGTTTGTATTCTATTATTTTTTCAGTCTTTTGATCAAATATAACAAACCAAACACTACTGGTTGCATCACTTGCCAAGAATTTTAACATATACCTGTATAAATACACATATTCTAAAAGTTATGTTTATGTAGACATTGTAGCAATTAAAATGATAAAAATGTTAACATCTACGACATACCTCAATTTAGGATACTCCACATTTTGATTGCAAGCATTACACAGTTTAGGATACTCCATATTTTTCTTACAATATAGGGTTTTGGATGTCGACTACTGACAACATTTGAGCAAACTCCTTGGATATCGACTACTGACAGCATTGATAGTGGTAGCTAATATTTTGAATGTAGATAGAATTTACTTTTAGACTTCTTGATTATGGGAGTAAGTAATTGATGTATTCTGCAAAGCACTTTCATGGCGATATTTATAAAGCATAGACTATAAGTGTATATAATCAATATTTGCCGGAAGTTCATGTTATTCAAGTGATCAAGTGCTTGGCATCTCTTCTATTTAAACTATGTTGGTAAGACATAAGGCTGGATATTTTTTTAAAAACCTTATGAAACCATTCTCAAGTGGATTAATTAAGTAAACGGCCAGAGTTTTTTAATTAACTAATGAATTTGTAGATATATCTAATAGAGATATTTATGTCTCTTGTATTTATGTCGCGTTACTTTCCAGTACCTTTTGTTTTTGATTGTTTTTCGTAAAGGCAAATTAACAAACATCTTAGCATATGATCACAAAAATCAATTAACAAACATGTTAGCAAGAATCTTACAAAAATAATGATGAAAGTACTTGTTTAAATCCTATGTCTTCATACAAAACAAACAGAAAATAAAACAAAAAAATAAAATTCAAGATATGGTACTAAACTCTTGCAATTAAAGATCAATATGCCTTTTTAAAAAATAAATATATTGAAAGAAAATGTACCTGACAATCAAGAAGAGTAAAACCCAAAATCGATACGTTAATGTGCCAACCGCTTGCACTGAAAATACCTAACCATGAATTTGATGTTTGAAATCAATGTATTAGAGGCTATATGTAGTGTAGGCATAAGAAATAATAATTGATAAGGATATAAAGAGATATTAATAAGAACATTAAAAGTATGTTTATCTTGATTTAAGTTGTTTAAAGTACATAACTTTGGGTATGAAATAAAAATCCTATAATATTAAGAATTCTTATAGGAAATAAAACCACAATCGTTCAAATAACTTTTTTTTTTTGAAGAAAATATGATTTATTAATTAAAATTAGTTACTTTTCTACTTCTTGTAGTGATAGCAATTCTTATTTATTTTGGTTTCTTATGTAGTACAAAAATTATTGGCATGAATTTGGAGATTTATCTAATAGAGATATTTATGTCTCTTTTATTTATATCGCATTACTTTCCAGTTCCTTTTTTGGATAGGAAATAAGAATAATACAATATTAAGAATTCTTATAAGAAATAAGAATTGATATAAATCCAAACAAAAAAGGAGCAAGTCACGTAGGAAAGAGAAAACATGAAAGGATAAGAATGAAGATACGACTTTATTATATATATATATATATATATATGATTTGGATGTTTGAGATTGAAATTTGGGCACAAATTTCAACAAATAATATAATGTTATTGTATTTTACATGTTATGTTAGTGTTTAAATTAGCTACATTAGTGTGTACAATTTTTACATCAGCGTCGACATTGTGATAATTATGGAAGCATCGAATCTTCCCCTCTTTTTTTTTTAATTTCTAACATTGCCAGTGTCAAATCACATGAGCGCTCACTATTAAGGAATACTAATTTTATCTTTAGGGATTATTAGCTGTACTTTTAGGTAATTAATTTTTTGCTTTTTGGTATTGGTATTTTTAACTTTCATTACTACTCTGAAATATGAGAAGAACCCATTTTGATTGCTATTTTCTAGAGATTTTATATATATATAAAAAAGAATGTGCTATAATTATTTAATATATGTGAGATAAAAAAATAATAGAAAAATGAGTTCACAGAGAAAACGTAACAAGTTTAGCCAATATGACAATAACCATAACATTATTTTTTTTTTCGTTTGTTGGAAAAAAAAATTACATAAATATTTTTTTTTACCCTAA